TGATTTTTTAAGTAAAAGCAAAAAAAGATTTCAAGGAATATGCAGTCTTCCACACATTTGACTAATTATAATCAAAATCACTATCTAATGAAGAAGGCTATAAATTTGCTTGTGCTAGCAAAAATAACGAAAGTATCACTACAACCTCTAAGAATTTTTATTATATATGAACTAAATGTATTTCTAACCTGCGTCTGCGCTGTTTTCATTTCAATACGATCCGTTTGTGCTTCATCATCTCGCGTTACAATCTTCTCAAGTGTAGGTGAATAATAGTATCTGACGACTTTTACAGCTATGGTAACAGCCATAACGCTTTGATCATTATCTTTTGGATATAACACAGACAACCCTCTTGTAGAAAGTACCTCCTACAATAAATTCAAAAATTTGCAAAATAGTCACGAGTCTGAAGCTAATTTAGCAAAGTGAACAAGTCATGATTATGATTTAAATCACTTACCGCTCCGATAATCTTTGAAAACTGCAAACACGCAAGAAAAGAAGTTCTGTTCGATACATTGATCTCCATTTTGAATTTGTCAGCATTGTTAAAGGAGGATAATACTGTGGTGAACATGAAACCGATGGGCAAATCTGAAACGATGCGATAATCATAGCAGTTATTTGGCTGATAGTGAAGGCGAGTTTTAAAAACATAAAACAAGCGAAGAAATTGTTATTATTTGGCAGTTATGAGCTGATGTGGCATAATGATGCTCCGAAAGTACAAAATTCAAAGGTATTCGAGATTTTCTTCCGGTTAATCCATATTTCGATAGCAGATAATGTATCATATAAAAACAAAGCTCGTTAACAGATTTTATGCCAACTTTTATTTACCATTTATTTTAAATTCAAAAGAGACTCCAAAAATGGTTGACGTTTTCAAGAACAATTATTCCCTTTTTTCTTATTGAATACTAATCAAAAATAAAAGTGGTAAACGGTAAACCCGTTGTAGGAGAATGAAATGCTCTTGTACTTTTCTACTTAGGATACTTCCTTCCTTCCTCTAAGACCTTTTGTAGCCAAAGTTAGGGCAAGATTTTCATGGAAATTTCCCGTTAACGAAATCTTTTGTCTAGAGATACCAAGTTCACTGATTGCTTAAAACGGGGGTGTTTATGCGTTCAAGCTTACCACTATGCTCGAATAAACCAAAATTATAAGGTAGTGAACTTTCGAGAAGCATTTTTTCATGACTTTGCTAAAAATTGGCAGAAGGTCCTGGATTCAGTTTTTTAAAAACGTATATATAGGGCAGCTAGAAAGCTTTGCTTACTCAGTTTAATTGTTATTTCTATTAATTATGGTTAAGTGATGTGCGCAAATCATAACCGAAAGCACCAGTGGCTCGGTCCTGGCGAACAAGGAAAACACCAAAGCCTGAATTGCACCTCAAGATGCTCAAGTATGGTAAGGACGTTCTGGAGTTATCCATTAGGAGCTGCT